AAAGACTTTGTTTGGTCAATGCTAGAAGCGTGCGGCCGGGTTTACAGAGATAGTTCCAAAGTTTTGCTCGACAAACTCGAATGGCTAACCGATTTACACGGCTTAGATGTTTTAAATTACGGCCTTGATCGGCTTCCAAACTGGCGCAGGTTGATGACGGCGGACGGACACCCTGCCCACGTGATTGACAAATGGTGTGTGTTTTTCCTCTTCACGCCCAAAGAGAATTTTTCTCTGCGGGATGTTGATGCAGTTCTTGACCTCAATCCCACGTCTCTGCAGCTCGTTCAAAATTCCTCTGAGAATATCAAAAGATGTTTATTTTCAGGAAACAGCTTTCGAGAAACGCATTTGCAGGGAGAGGAATCACCAAACCCTTTGATCAAGGAACACCTTCGACTGGCTAGATTGCTTAGCGAATTAATTCACATATTGAAGCTCCGTATGTCTGAAAAAACTGCCATCGATGCTGTTGTTGAGAAAATTGTGGTCCAAGCTTGTAACAAGCTTTGCATGAGTCATATGGGAAAAATCAAGGAGGAAGAAGATGAAGTCACCAATACAAAAAACAGAACCAAACAGTTAGAAGACAAAAAACAACAGGAAGATGACAAAACAAATACGGCAGAGGACAAATCCAAAAAGGGAGGAGACGTAACCAAAAGGGAAAAAGAGCAAACCAATACGACAGTAAGCAACTCAAAAAGGAAAGAAGAAAAAGAGGTAGAAGCCAGATCCGAGAACATAGAAGAAAACGAGGGAGAAAAGACGGCAGATAAAACAGAAGATACAGACGACGAACCCAAAATTGCAAAAGATAAAATCAAAAGTAGCAATCCCTACAGAATCCTCCGCCAGACACTTGAGGCCCTTTTCAATGAGTTGTTTGCCAAACAACCCACAATCGCCGATAATCAATCCAGTTTTTCAAACTGTGGTGAGGCACGTCAGGGACAAGAGAGCGAGTTAAGTTCGACCGGTCCCGTCTTGAAAAGTTCGACTTTGCCGCCGCATAATCTCCCAAATGAAGTTTATGAGTCAATGCTGGTATTAATGCGACGCTGGTTGTCGGGTATCGCCAACAAACCAACCCTCGCTTCAAACACTATGAAGATTGTTAAATCACTTTTCTCATTCTCGTATGAGAAAGATCATTCCCAGATAGAGAAGTTACAAGACGAGATTCGACTTCAAATTCTATCATTTCCAAGAAATCAGCTTCTTCTTTCTCAATTTCAAGCAGCAGGCTACAACCAAGGAGACTTGGTGGACTCTAAGGACCTTTGGGCTTCGCCCTCTCTCGAACTCTCTTGTTCCCTCAGTAAGAGTGATTTCCCAAGTGAGAAACGATATAAAACGAAACTAACGAATGTCCTCAGGCTTCATTGGATCCAATGGAAGGACCTGCTTTTCATGCTGAAGATTCACTCTATAAAGATCGATGACTGTGACTTTCCCACGAGAGATCTTTTTGGAATTCAAGCTTCGCTGGATGAAATGGAGAAGCAGGTTGCGGCAGCTGTAAAAGAAATTGGTGGGCGGATTGAGTCTGAGGACGTTAGCAGACGCGTGACGCGACTAATTCGTGAAGAGCAGCGACACCGTGCCAGAGTGACTAAATTCCATAAGAGAGTAAGTAAAATGATACACGCTAACTTCGTCAAAGACATTGCGAGCGCAGCTTGGAAGCTAGGAATTTGGAACGTATTCCAGTATCATATGCAATATTGTCTTTACCAATGGTTGAAATTGCAAATTATAAGATTTACGGAGGAACGATTATGACAGCTTGGACGAGGTGCTATGATTTGATAGCCCGTCAACCTCCCTACAGTACACGTCAATAGCCCTTCGAATAAATTGTGGTGTTATGATGGAACGGATAATCTTCCAAAACGCATACATGGTTTGAAGATGCTCCGACCCGTAGATAGGGTAGGAAAAAGTTCAGTTTCCGTGAGATGCATTTTGAAACTTTTCTGCCATAGAATCAGTTCGTTTCAGAAACATTTTAAAAGGATGGCTACGATTGACTGAGTTAAAGCTGACGCTATAACAAACCTTGTCTTTATTTTCCAGAAAGAGACTGACAAGCCTTGTAAAAATAAGGTGGGTTTCGTGTGTTGTGTGTGCTTTATTATATACCTGGCTTGCAGTCATTTCACTGGCTAGCCTTCAAGAAAGTTATCCTGGGCAGTAAGCCGGTAGGCACCTTGTTCCTTTCAGTATGTCAAATATGATGCTTATGAACATTCTCACTAAATATTCTTAAACTAGACTTTATGGCCCGTCATTAACTTAAAAAATAAAAGAGAAGTTAGAAAGCACCAGGTTAACGCAATATGAACTCGAGGTAAACAAATAGCTTCCCACAATTATTTTAGCGCTCTTGATTCGCTGATTAACATTAAATGCGCTGATTAACATTTTCTGAATATGTAATTGAATCGCTCTTAAGGTGCGGCTTCGTTTCTCAGCCATACATGTATATGCTGCTTAAAAGGAAGGCATTCTTTGTTTAAAGTACTTTGATAATTTCTGTTTCCTTTCCAAGACGGAAAAAGGGAAGACAAAACTGGTGGCTGTGTGGGAAAACCGATTTTTAGAAAACATCAAACTTTGCTCAGAGTTAATTCCAGGTAAGCGAATGAAAATGTTAGGTAACTTCATAAGTTTGTCTTAGAGAACTTGACAAAAAAAAAGACTCAAAACGATCTCCTGTTTAAATTTTCAACGTCCGAATCTAACTTAAAAATAGCATGCCAAACGACAGCTAACCTCTAAATGCAGAAAATCTCTTTATTTTTGCATGCTAATTTAGCTGGATTTACACATTGAAAAAGTGAACCCGTGACTTGTATTGTCTCGCAATGCCAATCGGTTGTGATAAACTGAATCTGGTAATGATGAGTAAGTCAAACGAAACGTAGTTGTTGAAAATCGACCCACGAACAATACAATCGTCAAATTGGCTTGAAGCATTTCTTCTAAGAATAAAATCGGAATCTGTGCCACGACGAGGACATAATTTTTTAATTTTTGGTAACTCAAAGTAAGTGGATTTTGTTAGTGCTTCTGGGTAGAAGGGAAACTTGGCACGCTTCGACTTGCCAAGGAGGATTTTAATCGTAAGTCTTAAAAGACTTCACGAAGAAGGGAGCTTGAAAGATGGTGGGACTTCTTGGAGAGATTATGTCACTTTCTACCGTTCCAATTTGTAGGTTGTTACGCCCCCAACGGTTTCCACTCTGAGAAACCTGTGATTTGCGCTTTGTCCGTGGACAACAAGATCTTGACTGTGTTCAAAGAGGAGAAAGGCCGCAGAGAGGAAATCGAGAATGTCGAAGTTAAGCTCTTTGAAGCTGGTTTGTACGTGTACGGGTTGCATACCAGTGGTCATGACTACGTCACTGACGAGCTGTGGGCCGCATTTTATAAAATGCTATTGGAAAAAAGATTGGTGCCCACAATTGTCTTGTCCAATGAAAGCCCGGGATTTCATTGGATCAAGAAATTTGTACAGCCTGGTAAGTGGAGACCACACGTGAAGAGATTTTAAATCAGCCAACACGTATTTTTCAGAGTAAAGCCAACTCCCATTTTCAATAATGAACATGTCTGTGTTTCACATTTTCAGTAAAAGTACATCCCTGCTTCTGGAAGTGGCACCTACATTGCGGCATCGTTCCTCCAGAAGAAGACTATTTAGACTACCGCCCAATTGAAGCAGCCCTATGTCCTTGGTTACACGGACTGAGCGAATACCTTACCTTAACAAGGATAAACGTCGCTAGGTTTCGTTTCAGAGATTTCATGGTGAGTTCATTCGATATCACAGAAGCTGGCCGGAAAATTTTGACCTTACATTCCCCTTCTTGTGAATCAGGACCCATTTATATCTTATATCTTTTGCATCAAATATCACTCACTGCTTTTGCAGTAAATTGAGTTGGATCGCATCCTTTTCAAAGCTTATCATATAGAAAGATTTGTACTGTTATTCGATGACTGGCCATTGGTTGGAGTGGTCTATGCTGAAAAACGCTTTTAAAGGGCTTAAAATGAAAAGAAAGCAACTGCTTACTTGTGGCATGCTTATGCAGTATGCTCTAGTGAAGTTAACGAAACGAAATGCCCAAACAGCTGAGCCGTTGATTCAAAATTTTTTAAACTTAAGGCGTTTTAGCTTCGTGGTGTCATTTATTATTTCCTAATTAAAGAAAAATACAGAAGCAACTAATTAACTTCAAACTTTCAAAAATACTTGTCTAAATCATGATCAGGATGCTCAAATCGTTGAGAGGAAAGAGCAGCAGGCGAAAGAAGTGGCAAGAAAATTCAAGGCCATTCCTCAACTGGAACGGGAATTGCACTCGCTACACAACGACGCCTCAGTAATAGGGAAACTGGCATTGAAACTGGAATTCGCTGTCAAGAAAACACTCACCCAAATTGTAAAGGGAGAATGGCCCACCACAGAAACTGTCAAGAAGCATATTGATATGAGAAGGCTGGCGTTTATCAAATGTGAAGAGTGCAAATTGAAAATTCAAAAATGTAGTTGTAAAAGTTACCATGAGGATTATGCAACTATTGTACTTAGGGTGTGTGAAAACGTCCAGGAAACACTCTTAGTTTTGCTTTTCTGTGTGTTTCTAGTCAATCTGTTTGCTCTGGACTAATAAAGCTCTTGGTTAGGGGGTTTTAGGAAAACGCTAGTTGAATGAGGACACATCTTCCGAATAAAGTTTCTTTGGAGAGACCTAATTTTCTTTTAGTTTTATTTTGTTTTGCCCTTTTCTGGCCTCCACTGAAAGGCAGAGCGACGCCTAAAAAAGTAGGAACCACTCAGGGGTCAAAGGTGGTTGGGCTGCAGACAAAAGTTTACTTTTGTCGTTTAGCTGTTTCCTTTGTTTTCGTTATTTTTTAGAGGGCTCTTCTGTAGAGTGTTGTGAAATTAAACCAAAGTAATCTAAACGAATGAAAATATAAGTAATACGAAAAATGAGCCAACAAGAACGCAAAGTAAAAACATGCAAACTGTTCAGGGTGCAAGAAAACACGGGTGACAAAGCCATGCATGGTCTTAGTTTTAAAGTCGACTTTCTGGACCAATTACTGAGCTTAGTAGAGAAAAAAAAAGTGATCTTGAATTACTTTAAACGCTCAACCGAAAGTGCTCTATGCGCAGAACATAGTTTGTTAACCGGAGAAATGCTACAATAAAATTACAGGACTTTAAGAAGCTGAACCTTTTAATATCTACATACTGACATTCAATCAAAAATCAGATCCATTTCATAAGTACCTGACTTTAAGTGTTTTACTATTAAATATTATTAGCTATGCCAAAATGCTGACTTCTATTAGTTATTTGCTACAGTGAACTGAAATCTTGAAGGTGTACAGGGTCTGGTTGGTAGCCAGAGCTAAGTCAAGATATAGTGAATGGATCCAATCCAGAGATAACGAAGATCATGTGGCCTGATCGTCCGGGTTGGAGCGGTCCTGGTCCTAACTGATGTCGAACACCTTAAACAGAAGTTACCTTCAGAGTCATGTGAGTTAGACATAGCCCAATTCAGGACTACTCTCACCTGGACAATCAGACTACATGATTGAATAAGTGAAAATTGGTAACTTTTAATTGCTACCCAGGCAGAGGTTTGAGCAGGGGAAAATAAGTAATCAATGTGACTTGGAACTTGACATATTTCACATAGAATTGAGTGAGAGACCCAGTGAATCTTGAAATGACCAGCTACTCAACCTTTAGCACCAAAACCATGACAAGTGAAGTAAACAGTCAATACTAACACAAACTGTAATAGAATAATTCAGATCAGTTTATATCAATTGTGAAAAGTGAATCGTCCATTCCTATAAACTGGTATCAATAAAGGACTGAGAGGAATTTCAAAGTATAATTCCAGCAAATCCTAATTTTGAAGGTTGTACAACTGACATACAGAGACACACAGAGAGAGAAATGCTGAAATACATACACACAGACAAAAGACAGCCCAACACACAGACAGACACCTATTAACGCAAAAACAAGCAAGTGGAAATGAGGCCCTTGAATTTAAGTGCCTGTGAGAATGGCCCCTCTTGGGATGTCATCAATAATTTCACTACTTACAGTTCCAATCATTCTTACACAAATAACAAATTTTGTTCCACTACAGTACCACAACATTGTCAAGCAGAAAGGTAAAGAAAATAAAGAAAAGCATGACCTGAGCAATTGTCTTTGATTCAAATTGTCATAGTTCAATATATAAGGAATTTATGAAAGACAGTAATAAGAATTTTTATTTTAAGGGTTAAAATAAGAAAGAAGATTCAATCAACACTTTGAGCAAACCACCCTGAGCAGTATCAGGATAGTTACAATCATGTTCCAGCTCCTGTGCATTTAGACAATTGAAAAGGAAAGTTTTCAATTTCACTATAATCTAAGGAGCACCCTAATGGACAATGGTCAATAATCCCTTTGGCGCAAGATCCAGGGTTTTACAACAAACTAATTACAAAGTCTGAAAGAATTTGCTGTTCATCCCCTGAATGCCTTCATGCCAAGTCAGTCTGTAAGTAAAACTAAGACTTCATATTCTCATTTTAATCCAGAAATAATATCCATGAACTAAATTAGTGAAAAAAAGTGATCTAAAAAAACCTTCTGCAAAAACCAAGAAGTGCACTGTTCAATGCATTGTCAGCTCCTGGCAATACATTTATAAAAAAAAATAAATTGCAACTTAGAGATATTAATTTTTCCATAAGTTAGTGAGAAACAAAACATAAATAATGTACATGTTAGTTAAGTTAAAAATAAGCAAACCTATGAAATAAATCCAGCAACAATACTCATGTCCTCAAAAAATTCCTTTGTGCACATAGGAAAAGTACAATAATTTCCATTTTTGAACAAATTCTGTTATTAAAAAAGCTTTATACAGTCATAAACACCTTGATTTCCACCAACAAAGTCTTAGCAAAATTACATAGGCAAATGCCTTCAGTTGTACAACTTTCTTTCTGCTTAAAATTGTTGCTAGAAAAGCATTTACAAGCTTTTCACAGCCAGTCTTGAACAAATGTCACTTGTCTAGGCCCTGGTTGATTTATCGCCTTCCCAGGCCACCTCTGTCAGCCTGATTTTTCTGACCCGGCGATAGTAGATAATACACAGGATGAAAAACACAATCACCAAAATAAAACCACAGATCTAAAGAAAAAAATTATTTAAAATACATGTCAGTTATTGGGAGAGATAAATTTAGAATACCCAGTCAAGAGAGCTATTTGCAGATTTATGCTAAGAAACATTGAGTGACAAGTAGTTGCCAAATTTTGTCAAACGAACAGGAAGAATTTTAATAAAAATTGTTGTCTCTGCGTCAAAATTTTTCTCTTGTAATCAGTCCCAAAAATTCAAACTGATGGAAATCAAGCAACTGATTGCTGTGAAAAATTATGTTCTGAGAAAAAATATTTTTGCAAATATTCTCCAAATGACACGATGATGCAAATGTTGCTGCAATTAATGTCCCCACAAACAATTGCAATATGTTTTGGAAACAGTAAAAGCAATGCCACCGGTTCCAGAGTCTTATTGCAGCCACTTTTTCCAGCCATTTTCCCTTTAATCCCCCTTGCCTAAGATTTTGAAAAAAGCTTTCTTATCTTCCTTACACATGGCTTTGCAGCCAATTTAGGTGCCTTTTTACACTCAACAAACATAAATAGGAAAGTAATTTTCAGTAAACTAACTACTGCATCAAAGACAAAGGGTCACTTCATTTCACCAAGAGAGAGATTAAGCTACCATTTAAAAGCATCCTAATAGCAATAAGCACATAAAATAGTTTTACTTACTGCTGCTATGATAAACTGCGCAGACTTCAGGGTCCACTGAGACAAAAGAGCCGAGGAGAACAAGAAGAAGAAGAAATACGACAAGGAGTAACTCAGCAGAAAAATCCACTGTTGGAACAAAAGCAAGTAAAATCATTACTTCAATGCCTTTAATTATGTCCAACTTTAAACAAGTTATAAATACATCTACAGTATGCCATTAACTTCTGTATCAAAATTTTCCTTTAACCCCCTATGAGTGACCAAGACAGAATTTCTCCATACAATATCACTACAATATCAAGTAGACAGGTGATGAGGAAAGAGAAAAATATCAATTGGAATGCAGGGTTAGTAGTTGATCTACCTCCAAATTCTCAGGACTAATGGCATAAGAGTTGTATGGTAGACAGCAAGGAGAAATACTAATGAGATCTTGAGAGCAAAAGGGTTAAATATGATTCTTTAGAATTATTTTACAATTTTTCAACTTTTGAAGAAATTGAATCAGTTTCTTTGACCAGCTCTGGTCATCTGTGCTAAAACAGAGCAAAACTGAATCACTGAACACTCACCAGAGAATATTCCCTCTGCCAAACACCCAGTATCTTGACTTTGCAGCAACCAACCACATGGAAGAAGATGATGAGTAATGCTCCAATCCAACACAGAGCACTGACGACAATGAAGAAGCCATAATGAGAGAAAATGCTGGATTCTTCATGACTCAAAACCAATGCAAATGCAATCACACCAAGAACCTAGAGATTTTACAACATAATCATCAATGAGAAGGCTTTCAGCTGTTCTCTCTCAGAGAGACCAAAAGGAAATTTCTTCTTAGTCAGTAACAATACATTTTTGTCCACAAAGGTGATGAGAAGATAGAAAAAGGTAAAGTTTCCCCACAGCCCCATACTATTGTAAGACAAATCTGTTTTCCCAATGGAAAAGTATTGTTTTTTTCATTGTTTTCTCTGTTCAAGAACTGAATGCATAATGTAGGATGGGGCTGTGCGGAAATTTTACCTAGAAAAATATCAATTGTAGATAATAATCAGTAAAACAACAAATTTTCAGTGTCTAATTAAATAATATGAAGTGAATGAATGACAGTGAATATAATTTATTGTTAGATGTTGCACAAGAAAGGGCTACATTTCTAGAAAATCCCAGACTCTAATTCATATATTTCCCAGTTTCCCAAAAATCTCTGGTCGGTAGATTTGTTATTCTGTACAATTTTACAACAAAATGTTACAGGTTCGTCATTATCGGCTATAGATAACCTATTGATTAAAGCCCTTGGTTCTTGATACCTGTGGCCACAGCTACATCAGTGAAGACTAAACCCTTTAACTGACGTGACATTACGCAGCGCTGTGTAGACTGGATTTTAATAGCAACTACGTAAGCCTATTGTAAATGTACATGTCAAACACTTCAAATCCTACGTATAAATCATTAAAATCTGTCATTTGCCGGTTAAAAAATGTTATGCTTCACGCAGTCGTAAAGTACGTACTACGGCAAAATATTTTCGTATCGTTACATTAAAAAACACTGAATTGTCTAGAATAATCCACTGATGTAAAACCCACTGTAAGTTTCAAACACGCCAAATTTCGCAGTTGATTTGTCAAGAACACTTGTTGGGTGCGGTGAGGCAATGCATGCATGTTTGAAAAATACCTGCATATTTCAAATACGATTCTAACAAAGACAGAAAAACATTTGACATACAGAAAATACAAAATCGGAAACTGAAATCCGTCTGAAAGCTATCGAAATCGTAGAAAGAAATGTACATTTAACATAATTAAGAAGTCGTTTGACTTTCACTTACGAACTGTAGCAAATATAGGAGTCCTTCGAGCGAAATCAAAAAATACGTTTTGCACCCATAACTGTCGCCTTCAGCCATCGTTTAAATAATTCTGTTGAGAAAAAAGGACAATGAGGTTAAACTTTGACGAAAGAAACCCCAACTCGAAAGGAAATATTGCGAACAGACGGATATCCCATCGCCGTAAACATTTGAAATAACACTGGAATCGCTATTATTTTAAATTCCGAGATAAACAACAAACTAGACATCCTCTAGAACGTAATATGGCAGCTATCTGTTCGAAAAGTAAGTATTAACCATCAGCTTTCAGGCTGGAAGGCGATAAATAGAAGGAAATACTTTTACTATTCGTTATCAACAAATTGGACGCTAAATAACTTGAATACTGCATTTGGAAGTGAACGGTAACATTCGATTTTGTCAACCTTATATCAGTTTAGACAGATCTCCAAAGACGATTTAGACATGAAATATTATCACTTCACACTTACCTTACGTTTCAGTAGAACAATCTTGCACCAACGACAGCGAAAAAACCGAAAATATCTTAAAAGCTTGATGCTGAGACCCGTGAGAAATAATCCTTAGAATCCAACAACGTACAAACAGCTCAGCGGCTTTCCACGAAATTTACATAGTTACCTTCGGGGTGATTCTAATTTATGTGCATTTCATTACTGCATCTAAAGACTGCCGGAACTGAGATTTTTTTCTCTCTTTTTTCATTTTTTTCTTTAACTTTTTTAAAATTGATTGTTAGTTTTCTTAGCCAGATGGCTTTGTGGATGTTTGAACGCTACCTCTTGGCCCTATCTGATATATCAAAGTTCATTTCACATAAGTACGGCATAAGTCAAACTTACTCGTGGAAAATCAAGTAACTTCGAAGTGGCACACAAATACAATAATAGTCATTTGGTAGCCTAGATGAAGGCAATGTGAAAATTTCCCTTTCTTTTTTTACCATGTGAGATAGAAATAAATTGGTTTTGCTCTTAATCTAATTAGTAATTCTCTCAAGCGGGAAATTGCCAGAGAACACGCGCACTATCAGAGAAAAGGGAAATTACTATGTGGCTACCTTATTACATATGATTCAGAGCATTGTTCATGCTGTCAATTCGAAACCATATTCAATGTATATGAATTCGTTCACGTGAAGCACGTGTGGAGGATTCTATCGGCATGTCTAAAACATATGGACTTTATTATTAGCATACTAGTTTCGCTGTTTGAAAATGCGGTATTAATGTACAGGGGTGATTGATTGATCGAGTTCCTTTCTGATTTGTTAATTGATAAATTAATTGATTAGCCGTTTGCATGCTTATTTGGTTTTATATGCTGAGTTTATCATGAAAATCGGCCATCGTAAAGAGCTTCAGAGCGAATGACCAATGGCTAGTGCTGGAAACTCTTTTAAAAATTAAATTACGTTATCAATTCCGTTGATAGAAACCAAATTATCATGTTATAGTCCTCAACTAACGCAGCACCACAGCTTCTTTCGAAATTCACCCCCTTGATAATTTTGTTTACATGTTTGTTTGCTTGTTTGTTTGTGTGTTTGATTGCTGGTTTATATAATAGGGGCGAATAGGTTTGCAGGTTGGCAAATTTTGACATAAAAATCTTAAAGATGATAGATTTGTGAAAGCAAGCAAAAAATTAAACGAATACGTAGATTTGAGAAAATAAAGTTAATCTAGCAGATCGGCTAGAGATTTTGCTCGGCTTCTTGATTTCCGTCTGGCTTTCATTAGAGGTTTAGGCTGATGGGAGATTGAGTAATAATATACACCACAATGTCCTAAAAGTAAATTAAAATGATTCCAAAGAGCCTTTGTAGAAGCTTCTCGTTATTTTTAGTATCCAATGTTTATTTCGAGCAGTCCCTCCTTTTCAACGAAGTCCGCCTGTTGCACGAGTCCGAAAAAAATCAGCGAAAATGGTGGCTAGTGCGCCGCGTGGAACCCTGGGAGTGAGACCGCTCTCAGTCTATTTCCAGTGTTCTCCACCAAGTGATACGGCTTTTTATTGATTGTATTCCCCAATCACTGGCATATATGTTGAGACTTCCTCACTTGAAATTTTCTTATTGCGACAAAGAGCGCAGATCAATACAATTAGTATAAAAAATAACAATTCGCAAAAGATATGGAAAAAAAGATATCGAAAAAATCGAGCATAAGACTTCTGCAGCTTCGCAGAGATCTAAACAAGACTTAGTTCTGATCATGAATACACTGTTATTTATCAATCAAGAAGTTTTCGTGAGTTGTTATTAAGAAACGCAAGTAGATTAAGCATGACGTTTACGACAACTTTTATTCTGAATTTGCTAACTTCTTATTTGAAAATTTGAACAAAAAAAATGGAATAGAAGTAATAGAAGAAACAGGATAAATGAAAATAGAAGACCACAAAAATGTTTTTTGGTGTGTATCTTCCAAAATCAGATGTTGTCATCGCGAAGGCAATAATTGCCAATTTTCCCAATATTTAATGGCCTCTTTGCTTTCACTTTTCTCAGGGAACAAAAAATTTATGTAAAGCAAAAACAACAAAAAAACAAAGAAAGAAAACCACGCTAGAAAAAATGTAATCATTTCGCCTTTGATCGCTGAAAATTAGTCGAGTTTTAATGGAGCGAGGTGATCTCGACTCACTCTACACGTCACGCACCGGAAGCCTACTCTTGCAATCGGAACTGACGTCAATCGAGTCCATTCTCCCGTAGATATGTCGAAGCATTCTATGGAATATAGCTCCCGTTCCCCTTTGTAGTCTCGTCCACCAACAACGTAGATCTTCCTATTCAAAATAACAGCCTCGGCATCTTGGCGAAACTCGGTCATGTCTAAAAGAGAAATTGTTATTATCATCTGAGAGAGCAGAACAGTGTAAAATGTAAAATGAGCTTTCAGCTCAATGAGGTTAAATTTTGTCATTTTTTATCGTTTATTGGTAATAAAAGGATGAAAATCTAGGCAAATCGTAGGCTAATCATTCAGGTGTATATACTGTAGCTAATTGAAGCTCACCTTTAACCATCTTCCACTGATGCGTCTGTATATCATACACTTCACACTGTCGGAGCGTTGTGTATCCGTTATGACCACCCATGACGTAAATTTTCCCCTCAACCTCCACGACACATGCCCCTACTTTCCCACAATTCATCGGTAGCACAAAGCTCCAGAGGTTAACCGCTGGATCGTATCGCTCCATGCTGATCTCGGGCTCAATTCCTTGTCCTTCTCCACCGATTACGTAAATATGCGTTTCTGTAGTAACCATTGCGTGACGACTTCGTGGGACTGTGGGAGGGGAAAGAAATTGCCATTTGTCGTTGATAGGGTTGTAGACCTCAAACGAGTTGCCATGGGAACCATTTATAATTCCACCTGCATCAGAAACGCGAAAAAAGTAGCGATTGTCCCCATAGAACACCATAATTTGGATACTGTTTCAGAATTTTGCAATAATTTGTTTGTATTTCATTCTCACCTAAGACATAGAGCAATCCGTCATGTTCCGTTGCAGCAGACTTTGCCCTTGGTTCTTGCATTGGGTTCACATAGTCCCAGTAATTGTGGTGCGGATCATAGCATTGCACCATATCTTGAAGAAGCAGGGAGGCCTGACCTTCTATAGACCCGGCGCATGCGTATACGAATCCATCAACAGAGACCACTGAATGATCGAACAGTTGAGTTCTGGAATAAGAAGGAGGTGTTTATCATGTGTTAGCTGTGTGATACATGGATAGCAAACAACATTTAATCGAGGAACTCATCTGCTACATCAGTCAACCTACAATATTATCTATTTTGTCAGACAAACACAACTTTTCGGAGCTTTGAGAAAAAGTACTTTTAACAAATGCCCAGAAGACACGAAAAAGGGTTGAAGCTCGATCCCAAAAACTCAGTTCTCATGATGTACATTGGAAATCAGTGTACTGCTGACTTTCAGGTGTGATATACCCAGCTGACAATCCCCAGTTAAATCACTGTTTACTCTAAAGTTGATCTTACTACGCTTCGAAATGGTCCACGTGACGTACCACGATTACGCTCAAACCGTTAATAATACAACAAAATGGCTCAGCGAAGTGTCGAACCCAGACCTCTCGATCCCGAATCTGGCGCGCAAATCAGTACGTTAACGCGTCTCCAACCGGGAGGCCCGATTACCATTTAAATTGGAACACTTTTTCAGTTTTTTTTTATGAAAAAAAAAAGAAAACTCTATGTTAGCGTTTAGAGTGGTATGTTGCTCGCACCATATAGATCGCCGCATTAGGATATGTATCTTGCGCCAATCAGATCACTGCACTAGGGTATGAATCTTGCACCAATCAAATTGCCGCATTAGGGTACGTATTAATCAATCATATCACCAATCACATGACCATTAGGCAATCTTTCACGTGCGCAAATTGTATTCCACCAATCAAATTCCATTTTGTCACATTGGCCTTCGCTCCATTACGAGTCATTTCCTTGTACACAACCTGCGTTTCATCACATATTCTAACCGCAATGTCCAACCCTACTTAAAAAGATTCAAAAGAACTAAATGCTACTGATGGTGAATTTTCCACGCAATTCTCTCTCGTTTTAACTTTTTCTACAAATAAAATTCGCTTTTAGCTACCTTGGACTGAACCCAGTTGCGTGTTAATTCCTGGTAAACAACCTGCTTTTTGTCACGTAATTCATACACACAGGGCAAAGTCCAGATAGGTAACAACGACTCAAGGGGCCCTCTTTGAAATATTATCCCTTTTCTCTTGTTCAATGTATCTTCACTTATTCGCGATCGCAATATATCTTTGGTCCTGGTGTATTGGAGATACAACAGTTTCAGTTTGCTTTTCGTAAAAAAAACCGTGAAACTATATTTCTTAAGCGAATAATTTTGATTTTCTCTCTGATAGAGGAAAGACAGTGAGCGTAGTCCCTATCGCAACCGTTACATGGCCTCGTCACGTAACGCACTGTCTTTCTCTAACGGGGAATAGATGGTGTTGTGTGACGAGACCAAACAATAGCAGCGAAAGAGACAACGGTAAGCGCGGCATCAATGCATATTATTTAGCTTAGAGGTACTTGGACAATAGAAACAATAGACCACAAAATCCCTATAGATGTAAGTTCAGATAACCCAGGTATTTTTTTCTATCTCCTAAGGTAAAGTAATGCGATATTTTAATTCTTTTGAAAGTTATGCCCTTCTTCTGTTACAAAATGAAAACATTAGGTACACAAAGTATCCCATCTCAACCCACCCAGCCAAGGAAAATAAATCTTGCATGCTACGCATGCCTATGTTTTTTAAAAAAAGTTTCGAAGGAACTTCATCAAAGGAGGTGTTGTTTTGGCCGAGAATCTGGCAGTTCTTATGCGTAATGGTAGGGAGCTATGTGCTTTGCCCTGAGTCGTGCAGACATCTGTAAATGATTATAAACCGATGCCGGACCTTCATTCAACCGGTTTTTAGGGATTGCCTTTTTTCCCATTTCTGTCACCATGAAATAGAAGGGACTATTTGTGTTCCAATACTTACTTTAAGGGCGCTAAAGAATACCACTGATCACCGTTAGGCTCGTAACAGAAGGTCAATCGACCTTCCTCTAGATTTCGCCCTTTACCTCCAACAAACAAAATCACGTCAACTAATGTTGACCAAGTTCTTGGCAACGTCCGCGGACTGCTCAAGGTCTTTCTGGTGTTCTCATCTTGTGCTGAATTAAATCGCAAGGCTTCCAAAACCATCTCTTTCGCTGTTGGTGAGCGCTGCACCAATTGTTGTCGTTCAACATGGTCCATTAGTACGCTGGGAGGAAGGAGCGCAAGGCGAACGTGCTGGAGTAGTTTAGCAAAATGGACGCCTCGCTCCCTACGGTCATATTCAGTCCATCTTATTAAACTGTCGAACACCTAAGAGATCAATAAGAAATCAGTGAGACGACTTAGGATTTGTATTTTCAATATACTAATCTTAGGAAAGAATATCATTGCTGGAGACTTATACCTCCCTGGAAGGTATGGGAAGGAAGGGGGTGGGGGGTGGGGGGGAACCAGGAGCTACTATCTTCCATACTTGCACTTGCCCTCTGAGTCAACCCTGTCCCGTATCTTTTTATTTTTGAAAGCACCTCCCACGGGGTTTTTCGCGGGTGTTTACATAATACCAGTCATTAGAGAGCTGAGATCCTCTATTGTTTACGTCATATGCAGGCCGGACGAAAGTATTTCAATAATGGCGAAAGCGCGGAAAGTTTATCATTTTTTTTAGGGAGTTATGCGAACGTCATTCTGTTCTCGCGGGAAATTAAAGAAACCCCCCACGTATCTCAGTTCTAAAAATAAAAAGATACGGGAAAGGGCTGACTCAAGGGTACAATTGGTATGGAGGCTCCGGGTAATGGGCTCCTGGGGTATCCAATTAAAGATTGATATGTCGGTCATTGTACCTCTTTTCAATTACAATAAAGAATTGATGCCACTAACTTCTAGTGCCTTCACAGACTACCTGACGTGTTTCACGGAATGAGGTTAGACAAAATCTTAAAATCTGACTCTTACTATATTCGTGGTTGCCTCTGCGATAAAATTTTGGCACCTTAACCCTTTACTTCCCAAAAGTGATTAACTTGTAACTTCCCCCCCTGTAATAACCATACTTTACCCAGCAGACTAAAAATGAGAATACTTAAAATTATCAGATAGAAGTTGTTTTCTTAATCTAACACCAAATTCTCTCAACTTATTTCAATGAAATACGTAGAAGCTAGAGGGGAGAATTGACAATCAGATCTTGGGAGTTAAAGGGTTGACAACATGTAAGAAGAGCCGGTATATGAAATTTAAGGCTCATTCGAAAACGACGGTTATTAACAAGTAATGCATTGTTACGTCCAACAGATAATTACTCGGTCATGATCCCCAAACTATACAAAGCCAAGCCGAAGGGATATCCAATTTCACTTTGTTGAAACCTAAAGACAGACGTATTTTCTGGCAACTTGAAGTATGCTAAATTTGGTGAGAACCAGGGAAATAAAATTGCATTTAGTCATATTTCTGATGTAAAACTGACTAAAAAACGGAAACATAAAAAAGGAAACGAAATGAAAACATTAGCTTAACTATTTTTAGTTGTGCACAAAGCATAAATATTTCGTTTACCCTAAAAATACGGTGCGAGGGCGTTTTCTCAAGAGGGAATTTGTATAGAATCAAACACAAAATAACAGCGGCATCAATCTAACCTGAGATTGTGCTAATAATACAAACTAAATTCTCTTCATCATTCATCATTCATTTTCATAATCACTTTAGAGTCGCCTTACTACCTGTTGCTCACTAGTTGTACAAATATCATTGTTGGACAGTATGCTTTCCAGATCATTTTTATGTAGCTCCAAAAACTGCGTTGTTTCTGCGACTTTGACAAAATTTTCACATAGAAATCTGTGGCACCGCTGATGGAGCTTTTCTTGTCCATGGGTTAGCGAAATTTCCCGCACCGTCAAACAATTGTCAGGCGTTAGAAAACTCACAAGGACGTAGGAACATTCCTCGATCAAACTTTGTAGCTTGAAGAAGACTGCAGCCTTGAAAATGTCAATAGCGTTGCCGATGTTGATAAAAATTCGTCCCCCATACATGTAACCCAATATTGCCTCCATGACGGAACGCTCAATTTCTTGAGGCAGGTCCACGTGCTTGATGAATCGACCACTTTCGCTGTCTATGAACAACGATCGAAAATACGGACTCGCTACGCCGAGAATATTACGATGGCACGAAAACTTGAGGCTGCCAATTCGCAGCGTTACATCGCAGAGAATCGCCTCCCTGCGTAAGAACTGAAAGTACTCGATGATAGATTCTTGGAAACTCCTATCAACAAATAAATACGTTTGGTCCTTTTTGATTCCATTAATGTCTGTCTGGATATCTCCAACATGTTGGGAAGGCATGTTGAACTCTTGAATCTGATTCCTTTAGTTTATTTTTACTAGTGCCGGGTTTGATACCTTAAATGCGTACAAGTAGTATTTACATGCCAAGAAAGCTGCGTGAGTTTTATTTATTCGAATTTATGCTCATTTAATAGAAGCATTTGTTGTGTAAACTAACAGGTACCACTGGTGTATTATTGTATGCAAATGTTGGCGGGTGTCGCCCGTGTGTTATTCGAATTGTAAATGGCTACTGTTCACTTGTTAAACTAAGTGAATGACAGGAAGAAAGAGCGAGAGAGAAACACTGATCGGGAAAACTTGATCATTATTATTTCCTATGTTTTGTTGGCATCGCAGATGTTGGCCGTTCATTTTTTATCGCCAGGGGTCGGAGGATTTTGGCCGGTGTCACGGGAAAATTTCCCTGATTCCCCCATAAGGCTCTGAACCTCTTCATAGGAAGTTAATCGGCAGTCAGTTTTCTACAGTCCCTCTTTTATATTATGTTGGCGATGACTAATCCCCTCTCCATTCCCCCTGAAAACCATGCAATCTCTACCAAAAATCCCTCGATACCCCCACCCTCTCTGCGACAAATGGTGACCGGTCCGAAAGGAGCGGAAAAAAGGAAGGAAATGGAAAACAAGCGTTCGAAGGCAGGTAATTTAGTGTTGATAACTGAGTTGAAAACGTACATTGGCCACCGTAGAGAGTTAAAAGACTGACGTTTCGAGCGTTAGCCCTTCGTCAGAGCGAATGCTCTGACGTCTGAATTACCTGCTATACTCTCCCACCGACGCAGCACCACGGTTTCCTTAGAAAATCACCCACTTTACTCGTTGAAAAGCAGACCTCAGAGGCATAAAAGAGTAGTAAACATTTTTTTTCAAATCTTGCAGCTTTTCACAATATGTTAACGACAAGCACTTGAAATCTTTTTTAGTGGAAAGAAACTCGCCTCACCCAAAAGGTGGTGTGTTGCTGTTCCGGTATAATTCAGAGGAATATAGCAGGGGTCATGGGGCTCCCGCAGGGTTACAGGATCTCGAAGAGGAACGGAAGAAAAGGCAATCTCAGTTAACAGTTCCTTCTTTTTCAGGTGGCTCACAAGGACTTCGTTATCCTTAAATCCTCATTTTTCTATCGATCGATAGATAAAGATTGATATGGGCAGCACTTTGATTTGTTTCTTCTTACAGGACACTTCAATTACATTACTTAAATGATTGTTTACATGCGTGGCTACCAAGGCGAAATTGTTCTCGCCTCCTGCCGTGATCCGAACAGACGATCGCGTGACATTAGAACGTTCAAGCTTTCGTCTCTAGAACCGAAGTAAGATTTAAGTCATCTGCGACAATGTCTGATGAACCGAAAACAACCACTTCTGATTTTTGGAAGGGGCTTTGGAAGGACGGTAACACTGGCTGGCATCGTAACGAAGTGAATGAATTTCTGATCAAGTATTTTGACGAGCTCACAGGTGGACGATCGAATCTTCGCTTCTTCGTGCCCCTGAGTGGAAAATCAATGGATATGTTGTGGCTGGCCGACAAAGGGCATACTGTGGTTGGAGTAGAGCTCGCCAAACAAGCAAACGAATGTTTCTTCGCAGAAAATAACCTGACTTTTACGGTGGAAATAGTTGAAATGTCTGTCAGTGAACCCGTGGAAGTATACAAATGTAAAGAGAAGAGGATCACAATCTTTTCCTGCGACCTCTTCGCTGTCACTGAAAATGATGTGGGTGGGAAATTCGACGCAATTTGGGACCGTGGATCGTTGGTTGCCATTGCTCCTTCGTTCGGCGATAGGGGCAAACGATATACCACAAAAATGCGTTCACTTCTGGCTAGTGATGGAAACTACCTTCTTGAAAGCTGTTACTATGAAGTTGACCGTGGCATGAACCCTCCGGCTAGCATTACTGACAAGCAGATAAATGACATGTATGAAGAAGACTTCACTATCAAAAAGCTGGAAATGAACAAAATTCAGGCGAACCCCGAGAAGGAATCATCCTTTGCTTTCGACATAAATTATTACTTGTTCAAGCCAAAAGGAAACTAACCTAACATTGACCTTAGGCTAATGGACTTTTTGTAAAAAAATACAGTGTGGTTCCCTTAGGATCAGAGGGCGTGCTTGTCTTTTTGTTCACTTGCATTTTTCAGACTGTTGAGATTAACCCTAAGTTTAGTTGTAACAATTTGATTTCAGATTTCCCCATCTGAGATGTCAATGTATACCAATCATTGATTGCAAATTGTAAGATCAGTTGAAATCAATAATTTGTGACTAGCCTTGCATATCAATCAAGTCAGACCAAAACTATTTGAGCTTTTCTGATTGTTTTGTTTGTGCACTTAGGAAATTGCTCAATTTTCACTTCATTTAGCTTGCCCTCCCCACTCACTCAAACCCAGACATCATTGATCCCCTTGTATAGCCTAGAGTATGCATCAAAACTTATTTTTCAGTGTTTTCATTGAAAACATTTTCTTTTTTCAAATGCAGTAATTAATCATTGAAATAAGCAGTTCACAGTCATAAGTTTGTACCTTTGATGATAAAGAAGTCAAATTCCTTGATACATTCCCTAATTGCATTTTAATGAGCAACATTTGGAACTTAAAAAGATTTCTACAAACACAAAATTATGTCACTGCATCAGAATGAAACATTATAATACAAAGTTGAAGACTGACTAAAATCACACTTTTCCCACACTAGTGATGAATACACAAACATGATTCCAAGTAGTCAAGACTAATTATTTACAAAAATTACAACAGGAGAGAAAACATTTGCCAATACAAAAGATATCTAACAAAACTTTCAAGGAGTGGGAGAAGACTTAACCCATGAAATTATGTTTATGCACAAATGTAGGATCGAGGTCAACTTATTGATTCTCAATATTAGTTTTGAGAATTTCAAGCCTCATGAAAAAAATATTCACTGTGATTTCCTTCTATTTGAGAGATTTCTTCTTTAAAAATTCTACTAGGCTTATTGCAGCCTGTGACCAACTGGAGCACACCAACCTAGAGTAAAACACTTTTCTAACAATGACATCTGTGTTTTCATACCATTCCCTGCAATGTGCATAAGGAGCGTAACATTCAAGAACAACTTAAGATTGTAAAATTAACACTGTTTCCCACTGGTGGACTTGAATAAGAACAAAAAAACAACAAAAAAAGGATAGTAAATGCACGTTAAGTGAAAGTGCATATTGTAGCATTATTTCTACTATCTCTACTCTATATCATGTTGATCCTCACTTTGTAGAATAGTAAATGTTACAAACTAATTTTAACATTGCATGGGAAAAGTGCTTGTGCTTGGTGGTTAATGGTGTGCTTATCTCCAATTTTTCTTGAAAAGACATCCAAGGAGTGATTCTTCTACTCAGAGTAACTGGCATGCATTGAAAAAGGTTTTAAACAAACATCCAACTTGCATTTGCACATGTTCTTGTATTGGTAGAGGCTCAGTCTGACTCTTACAATTATCATAAAGATTTGCTTTGCTTTCCAAAGAACAAGATTCTCTTTTTGAAATTACAGACAGATTGAAAGAGATAACTGAGAGAAACTGGGGAGAAACAAAACCAACTGTTGGTTCAACAGATCACAATTTGCCCTGAGGCCAACTATTGCCCATGTAAATTTTGTCAACAAGTAAAATAGTCCACTGTCATAACTGAGGCCAAAAGATGGTAAAAATAACAAAGAACACAAAGCAATCAGTAACTTCTATGGGCTGTGGTCATGGGCTGTCAATTCCTTTCAGAGCTCTCTAAAACTTAAGAAACTTTATCACTACAAAATACCGATTAACATATGAAGGCATAAAATTCAAAGTTACTGTCAGTGACAAAGGTGCTATTTATAATTTCCCTTTTTCTCTCTAAGATCTATCATTTTTTTAAAAAAGATTCTATGAAAAAACTCCACAAACACTTTTTGCTTCTTTCAAAGAGCCATTTGACTATTCTTCCATGCAAGTTTCAGTATTAGACAGCAGTTGTTGCATGTTTTCCTGTGCAGTGTCTGATTTGACGTTTTTTTGTACATTTTCATTGTACAATTAATGCAATGTGCTAATTTGAGTGAATTTGTTGACAGAAACAGATGAGCTTAACTCCTTGGCTCAAATGAAGGAAAATGAAAAGTCAAACCAGAATTCCTCCAATCCTTCTCTTCAACAAAAATAAGCACTAAAGCACCATTATCTTTCCTCCAATGAAACATGCACTGTCCAAACACTTCCTTCTGTACTACAAATCCAACTAGTAAAAAAAAATTCAAGGTCAGTTTCAATTTAACAGCTAGTTCAGCCAGTCATCCTCAAAGTTCATATCAGTCCTCTTCGCTTCTTGTAGTCTTCAAGGTTTAGTGATCTCCTAGGTGCTCCATCCCTTTCAGTGTTTGAAGGTCTTGGAGTTACTACCACTGGACGAGCCTCTGTTGAAAGAAGGCTTTGTTTAAGTCTTTGATTATCCAAACTTGAACCTGTCTTCTTAGTTTTTAGCAATTGTCTACAAAAAAAATCATTTCCTTGATCTCAAACAAGACATCCTAGCAGAGGATAAGGGAATAGTCCCTTCCATATTTATCCATCATTTCTCTAATCAAATTTATCAACAGTTTCAAAGTTTGATGACCATACATGGGTTATTGACTGAGTAATCACGCAACATATTTTTTGGTATTTGGTTGGCTTCTTCAGGTGAACAAAAACGTGTTTCCTGAATTGCTATCTATCTGTCACAGATAAAGTAAGCTTTACATAACAAACTTGGCCATTACCCAGCCAAGCTTGGACAAATACACATCTTTCAGAAGCATAATAAACACAGAGGAGTCTTGTTTCTTTCAATCCTGAACAAATAATTTTCCTGTTCTATTTTTATCTAGCTCAGCACATATCTTTGAGTGTAGAATTGTCCAATGTATCACTTAAACTTGACTCTGGATATTTCCAAAATGTCTTTACCCCAAAGCACTCTTATAGCAATTGTTATATCCACTGTAGATAGTCATAAAAAAAGTGCATCACCTGTTCCAGGGGCAGGAATGTCGAGATTGATTGTGATGTCGAAGTTGTGTGCTGAAAACAGATCCTCTGACTGAGAAGGTTTCCCTTCAGGAGGATGAGGTGCTGCTCCAGCCAATGGCATTTGTGAAAGTCTTTCTATATCTGACACCTAGAAAGTAAACAAAACATGCATTAAAATGACAGAGAAATGACAGTGTCAGTTGTATCTCCACCAATGAGCCTCCACAAACAACTTTGTCATCCAGGCAAATGTTCTATATATTCTCTCTTATTTGAATACCTTGACAAAGGCAACGTCTCCACAGCTTCTAATAAAAGTGCATCCTAAATGCTTAATTTTTTTTAGGGGGGATCTGTCATATTTACAGTCTATAATTACCATCTTTGGCAAATAAAAATGTTTTACCCCTTAAAAAATGGGTGTTCTTTCATCCCCCATGCAACCTTTTATTCATGGCAGCCTCTTGTGGTCACTTCCCTCTGTAAAACAAGCTGTTTACTGAGGAGAGGGTCCATTGTATCCTCATACTAACTAACTCAAATCCACTCTTATTAATTCACCATTCACATTTTTTTATTCAAGATATGCACATAGTTTTTCTATTGTACAATTGTAAAGGATGAGTTGAACTTACATCAGCTGTTTCAGTTGGTTGGCTTGATGATGAAGCCTGCAACAAAGATGAAGCAAATCATTAAGAAACAATCTTACAAAACTTCTTCCAATAATTGTACAGTATGTCTACATGGTATACAGTGTCAATAAAAGCTTCAGAACACTGCAATAAATAACAGCATATAAACAAGAGAGCATGATTACAGTATGATGGTCATAAATAAAGGAAATGATCACCACCTAAAGAAGCTCTTAATTGTAAAACAAATTCTCCTTTTCAGCAGCTAGGAGATGTATAGAGAACAGTATGGAGAATAAGCATACTGATGTTAGGGTGTAAAGGGCTGCTACATAACACTATAAAAGTGGCAAAACAATAAATATCAACACTTACTCCATCAGTGCTGGTGGATTGGGGCATCGAAGAAGAAGCTGCCCCTTCAGTATTCGCTCCATTTTGTGCTTGTGTAACAGAACTTGGAATGGTTCTATTAGCCTGAATATAAAAGCAGGTCTGCATAAACCCAAGAATTTAAAAGTACAATTGACATTTTACAAGTCTTTTCACAAGAAGGTAGACAACTTGGTGAAATCAGCTCTACAGAAAGAATGTATATCAAGTTTGGATGTGCAGTGCAACCTTTCATGCAAATTTTTTAGGTCTAAAACAGTTTAAGGTATGGCTCTGTGGCATTCAACAGGTTCAATTCATGTTGTCTTGATGTGTCATAATTTTTACAGAGTTTGACTCACCATAGACACAAGTTGAGGAAGGGTTTTCCGTCTTGTGAATGGATCAGCTTTTTGTTCCACATTCATTTCTTCCTGATTGGAGTGGATTAATAGTTGTGAAAGAGTTATTATCAGTTTTAAAAGTGTTCACACCAAAAGAGACTTGAAAGGAGGATTACAAATTTTAAACCCCAATCACCCTTAGTGTTTTCTGCTAACCTTTAACAGTCCCAGAAGTAATAAACATGTTACTCCTTGTTATAATATCCATACTTCATCCAGAAAACAGGTAATGAGAATCACTAAACTTAACAGGGAGACATCATTATTCTCTTTACTAATTTACACCAAAATATATGGCAGCTGGAGGGGAGAATCAACAATCAGCTCTTGGGAGTTAAAAGGTTAAAAGATGCTTCTTGGAAAAAGAGAACAGATAATTCACATTTTTTTCTTAACAGTATCTGTAACTCATCATCATCATCATCTGTACATGATTCACCATTGGCTTATGAAAAACTGCACTAACTTATTTTACAGAATCCAAGCAATAAAAATATAACAGTAATCTTACAGCTGCAGCTTTTTCAGCTTCCACAATATTCCTCTTTCTGTTTCTTTCATTGATATAACTGCAAGTGGAAACAGATTGCAATGAGATGAGCTGCTGGTAAAAGCATGAGGAAATTAAAAAGATGAAAAAATAAACAATGAACTATAGAATTTTCACAAGAAACAAACCAATAAAACTCTTCAAAAGGTAATAAAACTTTGTCTGGGTACACAGGGACCCTGAATAAATGCCCATGACACTCATCTCAAGAAGAAGCAAAGAGTATCTTTTGATGCAACACCCTATTCTTTGGACTAACTTAAAGACATCCACCTTAAGATATTGGACTGGTTTTTCAAAAAGTGGTTGTGCAGGCTCTATGTAATTTGTGAATGAAAGTTAAAATTGGAAGCACGAACATAGGGTGGGTAACATCTTGTGGGCTTTCCCATATGAAACATCAGGCAAAATTGAAGGAAACAACATAATACCAGTATGTAAACCTCTAAAAAGCAAGAAACCAAAATCAAACAACTAAAAGTGAACTGCATGTACAACACAGGGTAGTTTTGTCTCAATTTGCAAAACACAGCAGAAGGTTACCCTTTACCTGATGGCACTAAGGTTTTTAGACCGCACTTTGTCAAGTTGTTGTGCTTTCTCTTCCAAGTCATCCAATTCACCACGCAATTTTTCTGCTTCTTCCAAGTTCCCCTTCTGTTCTGCTATTTCCTGTTACCCATAAAAGAAAGTAAATAAGTGCTGTTAACCCACTTTTCCTTGTTTGCATGCAGTGAAAATGATTACAAAACAAGCGGTATTATGGAGAAATAAAATTCACATCATTCCCTTACATCAAAAGTAAATTAAATGAGATAAAATTATTATCATTCCTTCCTCATCACTTCACTTGTGAATATCAACTTATGACTGGCTGTGACTGTCAGGCAGATATTGTGCAAGGTGACCATTGAGATCAGAGAGGAAGATACATGGAATTAGATAATTTAGCTTTCCTTGCCTAATCTTTATGGATCATCCCAAATTCATGGTAAAAACCAGCCAGCAGAATGTTCTCTGACTCCTTGCACCCACAATGTAGGTAGTTGTGAGATCCAGTATGTATGGTGATTTTTAATTGATTGTTGTAAAACTAAAATGAAAACCAATACAATCACAGCAGCCAATCACAGCCAGGAAAATATCTTAAAGAGCCAATAAGAACATGAAGTAAAATCAAGCAAACTGCCTGGAGCTCAAGAAAATGGACATGACCAAGTTTTGATTGGTTTTAGTTTTGATTATGACTGATTAAGGAAGTCAGTGGTACAAGTAAAGTATAAACAAAGCAATTCTGGATTACTTTTAACACTTTATTGAAAATTGCTCTTTCCCACTGAATCACTCACTGTGATGGTTCTGATTGGTTATACCCACATGTTTACCATGGCTACCTTCTAAAACTCAGCTCCCTTCTTCCCAAGTCTCCCAAAGTCATCTTTTCTTGATGAGTTTAACTTGGTGTTTGAATGTGACTGAGCTACTTGTACTAAAAGTTTTTAATAGATATTTTACAAACCTTTGATCGCATTAAATGATTCTTCTTCTGAGCATAATTAAAGGGTGTTTTCCTGAATTTCTGTTTCTCTGCAACAATCTGTCATCAGTGCAGCAAATAAAAAGACCATAAATTAAGCACTGCCTTGGTCTTATGAAACAAAAAGTGATGAAACATTTTTGTCACACAAAAGCCTAAATTTAAAGCAAGGTGGAAATTTCTAGTAAATATAAAGTACTGTGCTCAAAAAAAAGTTACCAATTTTGTTATAAATATGTCAAATTACTGAGTGCAGAGTATACCCTTTAGAGGGAAGACATGAATTTGGTGTTAGATCAAAATGAAAACTCCTACTTGATGAGTTTGAGTATTCTCAATACCTGTTTGCTGGATAACATATGGATATTAAAGGGAGAAATTACATGTTAATCACTTCTGGGAGTTAAAGGGTTAAGCTAGTCTCTCTTAGTTTTCATACCTTGTCAATATCCTCTTCATTATACATGTAATGCTGTGCTTCATTGAATTGTTTAGCTTTGGTGTCCACCTCCTCAAGTGTTGGTAAAGGAATGTCATGAGATTCACACTGTTCATAAATGACAAATAGAATCATTCACATCATTAAAAGGTAAACGTAAAAGAACAACAAAGGAGGAATTGTCTTGCTCATTTGTTTAGTTTATTACTGTTCCTGCTTTATTAAAACTAAATTAATGTATTTTAGTTTTTTCATACATCTCTAGGAGAAGAACACAACTACATAATGAGGACTGGACACTAAGTTTTATATGCACAATAGGGGCCTGGTACTAGTTTATCAGACCACATTGTTCTTGTTTTATGTTCTCTGACTCCCATGAGGTGATGAAACTTGCTGTACAGGAGGAAAAACACAATGGTTGCTTGGGTGCACCTTAATAATATGCCCGCCTTTACTGCAAAGCAGGTGTTTGCAAGTTTTTGGTCACATACCCCTACTGTAACTCTGAGGGAAACTAAAAAGGGAATTTCCTCCACAATGTCCTGAAGTGCATCTTAGCCAACAATGAAATCCAGCTGGACCTAATCGGCGACAAAAACCAAGACATGACCGTTGAGGAGGTGTTTCAATTTATCAAGGCAAAAGAGGCCGACAAAGGATCTGCTGAGTGCCTATTACACACCCAGGGGGTTGGTGCCACCAGGAGCTAATACCGTTATGCCAAACAGGAGCTTAAACAACACAAGCTTAGTGAAACATCAGGCAGACACTTCATATCCCTCAACCTCCATTTGTAAAGCAGCCTCCACAACTGGTGGGTAAATCAGATTGACCCTGTTTTAATTCATTTGTAATCAAAGTTACCTCTTCTTTCCACCTGGCAAATTCCGTTTCTGTGAATCTCTGATTTGACACAAACTCTAATCTAAACACCCTTTCCTGGTTGCCATGTCTATTACAAAAAAGGAAGAGAGAACTATTAACCTTTATTTCTTTTAAATGTAACATTATTTTAGAGAGGAAAAGTTCACAACAAACTGAAGGGATTTTAGTCATCCATATGGAGAACTGGTAAAAACTCAACTACATCATCTTATAAATTTAACACTTAAATTCTCAACTAACATACTTCAACTTCAATCCTTTATTTGTTTTTGTACTTCCCAAAGAGTATATCTTGGCTGTTTCCACCACATCTCTTATCTCTGCTACCTGGAATGAAAAATACCCATTTTATAAGTGGCTGTAATTAATGTTTATTGGTTGTAATTGGTTAGTTTGAACCCATCAGTTAGAAAGAAAAGTTTTTTAACCATTTCACTGTCTGAAGTGATATATACTTAACTTCTCCTTACAATATCAATACATTATGCTGCAAACAGGTAACGAGAATAATCAAACTTATCAGTTAGAAGTTGTCATCTTTATCTAGCACCAAATTCTTGTTACTTATTTACAAGGTTGGGAAAAGTGTAGCAGCTAAATGAGATCATTTTGAAATCAGATTTGGGAGTCGAAGGATCAAGTTTGTAGTGTCCACAATAAAAGTCTGCAATACAGAACTGAAATCTGTTGAGAGGAGTCTGCTCTGTAGGAGTATACCATCTCTCTCTGTCATTGTCAGGTCAAAACATAAGTCTTTCTTACATGCTCCTTTTCAAAACTACCCTTACATTGTCATACCCACTAAGATACACCAAAATAAAAATTCTTGAAAGTATCAGAAGCTGGCAAATATGCTGTGTACCAGCACCATCTAAAAAGTATGTTGTCATTCAATTTCTTTATCTAGGATTGGAAATTTTTCAAACCAGTTTGACTTGCAGTTTCCTTTGGTTCAGATTATGATTTTTTACATCATAATGAATATAATATTAACAGGAAAATAAAATTCCAAACTTTTTGAAAAAATTTGTGCATAATCATAAATAAATATGTTGAAAGGCTAAATTAACATGTCCTTCACTTCATCTCAATAACATAAACAAACCCACAAGCTAACTTCCTCAAAGTAACTCAGTGCTTAATCACAAAAAGAGAAAATAAATAAATATAGCATTAGTTTATTTTGCTTGTTTTAATTGATGTGTGGTTGCTCAGGTGCAAAAACAAAAAAACCTTACCCTATAAACAGGTCTTGCATCATGATTTCCGATACCAACACGGACATAACAGCCAATCACTATCTTGCCAAAGAAGGGCATGTGTACCCATCTGTTTAGAACAGTTTAAAAAATAATAACAATTATAAACAACCAACCATTGATTACTCCTATGATTACTTTAACTTACAGAGTTACTTGAATGTGTTCCCAAACACATTAAAAAGACACTAAGTTCAAGTACAACAAGCCAGTCCTGAACTGAATGGAGTGCTGTTTGAGTTGTGAAGGTGCACTGTTGTTACCAAGTAACGCACATTGTAAGGACCTGAATGTAATGTACAGGAGCACATGGAGGCGAGGATAAGATCAATTTTCTCTTGGGCGCATTGAAAAACCAATGTTTAAAAGAAACTCTGAAGTTAATCTTCTTTAACCATGATCTCTACACTGATTCTGGTGAGAGAGTTTACCCAGTGAGACAAGATGCTTGTGTTGTACTAGACAAGGCAAGAGTGATATCTTCCATGATCTTTTCAAAGGTATTTCATTTCACTTTTTTTACACCATACAGGCCAGTACCTTTCAAGCTTGTGCCGTGATATTCTTATCCTCTCCAGATCTCCCAAAGCTGACACCCTTTGAGGTTGTGCCTCGCCTTGCCTAGAATATCATTTGAAAAAAAAAAAAAAAACAGTAAATGTATCCATTTTTACATAAAATAGTAAATTACTGAATGTCCATGGATACCAACTTGGCCACCATGTACTTACTCTTCATCAGATTCTTGGTATGATCCTTCCCCTGAACTTGACTTGCTTTCCTCCTGCTCATCGTCATCTTCATCGTCAGTAAACACATCACTAGTCTTAAACTGTGGTGCTTTCTGGTCTGCTAAAGATTCTGCAACTTTCTTCTCTTTCTTCTCAGATCTCTTTGCCTTTAGATCATCCAAAGCTTTTGCTTTCTTCTCTTCAATGTGTCTCTTTCGCTCTTTTTTCCGCAAAGCTATTCCTTCCTTCTCAAGATTTGCTTTTTCCTTCTCTCGTTTCTTCTTCTTCTCCTTTCTTTTTGCAAGACGGAGTTTTCTTTCAATTTCAAATCGAGTCTTAAGAGCTTCTCTTTTCTCAACACGGTTGAAAATCTCCTGCTCTCGCTCTTTCTCTGTCATCTTTTCAAGTCTTGCCCTATCTGCTTCATCTCCCATTAGGTTGTCATCCCAATCATCATGATACTGCTCTTCCTCTTCATCCTCTGAGGATGATGATGATGACGATGACTCTGTTTGAGTTAAATGAACAGTTCTACCCTGATAAAAAGGCAGTAACTACTTACATTGTATTCCTTAACCCTGTAACTCCTATGAGTGATTAGATTTTCATGGAATTTCTCAGAAGTTGCATAAGACAAAGGTGAATTTTTGTTCTGTCTGTGCTGAACAGGCTTCAAAGGATTATGGTAAAAAGAGGTTGAAATTTAAAGTATTTGATGATTCAAGCCAGAGTCAGTAATCAAATTTTCATAAACCTTATAAAACCAGTTCACATTTTGGCCTAGCTGACAGTGTTACATGTGCATGTAAACCTTTTTATATATAACTTAGGCATTGGGTAATTTGTTTCTATTGATACCCAGTATCTGTATCAAAGCCAGCTTTTCAGTCTCTACAATGTATATCTATTGTCCATATAATAAAAATTAAATTACATGTTAGCTCAAAGATATGAATGTTATGTTCTAATGGCAGAAACATTATCTCATTTCTTGCACTCAATCATGATATATTTTTCTTGCCACTTAAACATAAAATTCACATATTTTTGTCCCCATATAATATCCTCTCTATATATATGTTTAGAAATAGAGGACTTCTTTCTGTCTTCATAGCCTCATCTAAACACGAGGGGAAGGGAGGGGAAGGGAGGGGAGGGGAGGACTCTCAAAAGTTTTGCAAACCTAAGATGAGATGCAATTGAGGGTTTGCATAACTTTCCTTAATTCCTCAAGCCACGCTTGTGTTTCAATGAAGCTATGTAAACAGAGGAAAGCTCCTTTTTTGCTTCAGTACAAAGACTCTCACCACCAGAGGATGTTTCACCACTTTCTTCTGATGAAGAACCTGATGATGAAGCTTTTTTGGCTTTTTTCTTGTCCTTAGCTTTTGCAGCCTTTCCTTTACTATTCTCAGAATCCATTGTCCACTACAGGAATTAACAAATCAAATAACTGGATAAACAAACACCTATTAAACCTTTGACCCCAAAGAGTAACTAGCACCTCATGTCTCCTGACAATATCACCCCTGAATCAAACATTAAGGTGACAAGAATTAGAATAATGATCACCCACTAAAGAAGCTCTTGATTGTTTCACAATTCTCCTTATAAGCACCTTAGGAAATGTAGAGAGAACTACAAGGAGAATATCTATACTGATGTTGGGGTGTAAAGGTTTAAGCAAGGCATTAAAATGCATGACCGTGAGAACCGTGACCCTTTGTTTTGATTTGGATGGTTTACACAGCTGTGATTGGTGCAATCATAAACCTTGCTGTTCTGATAATATAATTCCAAATTCCCTCATGGATCTCTAGCTGAATGGTTATACCGTTGTTCAACTTCTTGATTTTTCCCGTAAAAAAAAGTAAAACAGCAACAGGAGAGCCATACATTATACATTGTATGTCATATGATGTGATCAAGTTTAAACATATACCATTTTTTCCGAGTACCAATTGAGCGTAAACAATCTAAACAGCGGTGGTTGTTAACAAGCTGCAGTTTCACCATATCATAACTTATAAAGCAAACTCATACAGGCTTGAAAAACTGATGAACCAAGTTGTTTGGGAAGTTTTCCAATTGTTCGATCGTTCGCATTCAATTGCGTGAGGTTTAAAAAAAAATTGGAACAATTCACAACGAGATGAAATAGTTGCTTATAGAATCCTGCCATATATTACCTCATCATCACTTCCCTCCGATGAGTCCAAGTCACTGTCTGAATCTCCTGATCGCTGTGGCTTGGCGTTACTATCGTTCGCTGGTCTCGAACGTTTAGCGAGTGACTTCAATTCCTGAAATAAACAACAACTTCCAATGTCACCAACACTTGAAGAAATGGCGAACAACTCAGATATCTGCGAAATTATTATTCACCTCCTCTAAGTCTTGTTCACTCTCATCGTCGTCGCTGCTTGATTCCACTGCAACACGTTTTCTTTTTCGTTTCGAATCATTAGCTTCCTTCGTTTTCCCCATCTTAGTGCTTGAGAACATGCAGGAGGAGGCTAGGTTACTAGGCGTTACCCACCTAAATGCATTGTGGGATAGAAACCTGGCTACCAAGTCTGTTGTCGTCCCCAGATCTTTTCATCGACTCAATTTCGAGTAAAGGAAAAAAATATTTGTTGATTACGCTTCGTGAACGGATTCCTTCATGAAAGTGTTAAAAGACATGGCTGCCACATTACCCGACGACGGAGATCTAGAGGAAGTTATGCTTATGAACCATCCTGTAAGAAAATCCTCCACTCGAAGAGGCGAGGTTAGCTAAAACTTTCGAAGACGAGGACGAATTTTGATCAGCATCGCCTGAATTTGTCTTCGTCCAGCAATCTTTCGTACCTGCATCGTACCTTGACCGTTTTTCTTTTGCGATTAAGTAACTGTGATTGGTTGAAATTTATCCGATTTTCGATATGTCTTGACCTATGGTTTTTATTTAACCTTTTTTTTTAAGGAAAGGAAACCGCTTTGTACAGAAGAAAGTGAACCAACTTCAACATCAAGAGAAAACATTCCCCCAGCTCCACCGAAGAGCTTTTTGCTGCTTGACGAAACGGAAATTCTTCAGGTAACCTTGGATGGCGAATGCAAAATAGTGATCAGTAATTTATCTAAACCTTAAAAGATGTTAAGAGTATTTGAATTATCCAAGACCGAGGTTTTCTCTTATAACTAACTCTTATAACCAGGCCGGACCAACACTCAAGGTCTTAAAATGTGCTACCTTTATATAATATCAAGACATGGATAGAAATTCTAGTCTACTCGGATAAGGACGAACAAACCGTAGGTCCCGTCTCCTGCATCTATTAATAATTTGGTTAGGCAAGGGACGTTAAAGAACCCACTCACGAGATTACTATGATGTGGTCTGGCCTGTAAAGTATAGTGTAAGGTAGACAGCAGGTCCACATCAGCAACAGCTGCTACTTATTCAACCTGCTTTACCAAATAAAGGATGTATGTATGTATTACTTCGCTGTGGATACTGTATTTATGTTGACATAATAAAACCGTTTACAACTGAGAACTGACAGCCGTGATGATAATAAACAAAGCGACTTGTTAAGGAGTGATTGGTAAAAATTCATTGAAGAACTATTTAATAGTTCAATGAAATATTTAGAAAAATAGGAAAATGAGAATTAATCACAAAGAAGACTGTATTTATATAAATGAAGAGTGTACTAAAAGTTTGTTTCTTTGATTGCGTAGATAACGCTTTGTAAGACAGCATGGTTATTTTTTTCATTTGATCATGACAAAAACCAATTAATTGATCTGTAATGATTATAAATATGGCTGCCATTTCAAGTGTTAGCCCATCCTTAGAGCGTTGACCCATTGGCTCTGAAGTAGGGCTGACACCTGAAACTTTATCTTTAGAAACTCTTTGCAATGGCCTGTTTACATTATCAACTCAGTTTATAAAAACCAAATGATAATAACTTTTGTAATAATAACTCCTTCCCCCACAAATGCTGTGCCACAGTTTCATTGGAAACCTATTTCCTTATTCATAGATCTCAGAATTACAATTATAGCTTTGGATGTTCAGTGTTACTTATGTAGCAGGATAGTGTTTTGGAAAGGAATTCTGTAACATAAGTTAATGTGTGAATTATGTATCTTTTGAGCAAGGCTATTTAAAAGTCAGTTATCAATCACTGTCTTTTGGTATTAGTTTTGGTAATTACGTTAAATGCCTTCCATGTCAGATTTTTAGTATTTACAAATATGTCTCTTAAGGTATAGTAAATACTTACAGGGGTCACCACTCTCTTCTTCAGGTGCATACAGTGGAGGACTTCATTGCAAAGCTGTCATGCCATGGTGATACAAGCATGAAAGTTGTCTCCATATTTGGTAACACAGGTGATGGAAAATCGCACACCCTTAACCATGTCTTCTTCTGTGGCAAAGAAGTATTTGGAACTTCACCATCGCAGCTTTCCTGCACAGTGGGTGTTTGGGCTGCTTATGATGAGGGTGATCGGGTAATTGTCTTGGATACAGAAGGGCTATTGGGTATGTCTGGAAATCACAACCAACGCACAAGGCTCTTACTGAAGGTCCTTGCGATATCTGACATTGTCATCTATAGGACAAGAGCTGAAAGGCTCCACACAGACATGTTTACTTTCTTGGGGGATGCATCAGATGCATATCTAAAACATTTTACCAAGGAGCTGAAAGATGCAACAGAGCGATGCCATATGGATGTGCCTCTATGTAGTCTCGGTCCAGCTGTGATTATCTTTCATGAGACACAGCACACTCATTTACTAGGAGTGTCACAGAATGAAAGTAATCCATCAGGTTTGGAAAAATTTTGCAATTTGTTGATAAATTACACTGTAATTCCTCTTACTAATAAATGCTTGGGCATTTATTTAAAATTTTGGCCAAAGGGAGGGGTGCTTGATGGAAGTAGGGCTCTTGACAAAGAGGGGGGAGGGGTGTTTACTACTCTCTTGAACAGATTCTGTTTCATGTGTAGCAGAAGCTAAAAAGTTATTAGATAAAGTGACAGGCTTTCCTACCATTTTAAGAAAATGGGGGAGAAGGGGCAATAATTTGAGAGGGGGGCTTGTTTAATATAATGGCCCAGGGAGTAGGCACAAATAGATATTTCTAGGGGAGGAAACCTATTAGAGGGTGGGTGCCTATTTGAAGATATAGGTACAGTATGTTACTTGATTTTAAAATCTGAAGTATTCTGAAGGCTGAAATGTAAATTATGATTTATTTTCTATTCTACCACTTTAAAAGTCTTGTTATAATTTTCTTACTGAAACAGAAAATCTGAAGAGTCCTGATGAGATTTTAAAGGAGAGATTTGCAAATATAGGAAGAATTCCTCATGCATTTAGTTCTATCAAGTACCTGGGGACAAGAACAGAGACTCCACCAACAAACTTCAGGGGATTGAAGCAAGCTGTAAAAGAATGTTTAGTTGACAGCTCTGTGCGCTTGTCACGCTCACCAACTATCATTTATAAAGCTTTGATGGTAATTGTTCTAAATTTGTTGAAAACTTTGACACCTAAGAGTGACTTAAGGCATCCTACTTCCCCACAAAATATCACCCCTGAATCACGTAATGTTCAAGCTCACCTAAATCCAAGATGGTTTCTAGTTATCAATCGAGATGCATGTGCTGTGTTTTGGAAACAAACGTAATGAGGAAGTTTGCTGTGGATTTATATTTGCAAATCTTTTTAATTCACTATATCTCTAGGTAAGGTTATGATGAAACATTCTAGTCGCCAATTTGGCAACTAATTTTCAGGATTTGATTGCCAAAGTGAAAAATTTAGTTGCATTGGTGCCTGTATTAGGCGCAATTTCACGCCCTGCTCCTTGTACCCTTCCTCTGAAATCTGTACAGGAACAAATTATGAGAGGGGGGGTTTATTAAATTATCATTATGATAATAAATTAAATTTATGATGATCATTGTGTTACTAATTGTTTTCATCCAAGTTTCTTTGCTTTCCTTTTCATTAGCTCCTGAATGAGAAGTTCAGTGGGGACATTGAAAGAACAATACCAAACACTTTTCCTGATGAATATTTCACTTGCCAGGCATCATGCCTGTCATGCAAGTAAGCACAAGTTTTATGGCTATGATCATGTGGGCTAACTGTCCAGCTAAGGGTGGTCCTGCTATCTGTGACAGTAAGCGACAAAATCACCTGAAAGGAAGTCATCACCCAAGTCAATTGAAAAGTTCTTTGTGTGTTTATTGTTGAATTCCTTAATCCTCAAGAGTTACAGGCATCTGATTTGTCCTAATGGTACCACAGCTGAGTTGACATTAAGATCATGAGAATAAAGGAACATGATCGTCAACTAAAGATTGAAGCTATTGATCATTTTAACAAATTCTTCTTATTTGTACCATAGGAATTGTATAGAGAACCCTGTGCAGAATATAAAATCATATTAATGTTAGAATGTGAAGGGTTAAGTTGACTTTTTGCAAGTCATATGTCTTGAGCTTTGAATTTATTGTTTTCTGGAAATGTGTTCAATCATTTGGCTTATTATTAACTTTATGAAAGTTTTGTACTTACAAGGTTTCTCCGTGCTTTCTAACATGATTATCCTTTTTAACTATGGATAAAATTTTTATTTGGTTTTCATACTTGTAGAGCACGATGTCAAAAGAGCATGAATCATGAGAACGATGAATCATCAGCACACCACAGTGATGTCAGATGTCAATATCAAGCCCAGTTTGACAACAGGATTTTTACTTGTAGGGTGAGCTGTAAAGCGTATCTATGCATATTTTTCCATCTCGACAGACTCTTGGAGTTCTTGCCATAAACTTTCTTCACCCAATTTATCCCTTTAATTCCCATGAGTGTCAGAATTTCATCTTACAATATCAACACAGAATCAAGCAGACAAGTGATGAGAATAAGGAAAAATGTCATCAAGGAGATTATTAGTTGATCCAAGACCAAATTGTCCAACCATTGTAACCTCATAAGAATTACATGGCAGACACCAAGAAGAATTGCTAAATGGAGATCTTGGGAGTGAATTAGGGTTACTGTATTGCATACAGTTACAGTTATTGATTTCTAGTTTCAATGGTTATAGTGTGCTTGCTTGTCAACCTTGCCAATACTGTAAGCTATAATTTAATGAGCTTAAATTACTCTCTGCCTTTGTTGTCACACTTACTTGTGGTATTCCTGTAAATGATTTGTTGGATATAAACAACATACACTGTATGTGATAATCATATGATTACTTTTTGATGTTGTTTTAATAAAGGCCTGTTATGAGAGGGGAAAACAGAATTTGGTTGTTCCAAAAGTGTGTTCCTCCAATGATTCATCCTGGCTTGGATTTGCTAAGTATGCCTGGTCTGGGTAAGCACTTGCAATAAATGATTCTTCATAATGTTTAAAAAGTTTGTTTACCTCTAAAATCATTTTCTCTTATAATTACGGTGCTTCAATAATACACTCAGCAGGGAATTGAAAAGGATGGGGCAAATGATGTACAGTTTGTGCATTTAGGATTAATCCACACTTTAATCACAACAAAAAAATTATTATGATTATCATCATTATTGCTATTATTGTTATTACACATTATTTATTATTTCATATCATTTATTATTTCAAAATCATTGGATGGACATGAAGAGAAGTAAGGTCCAATGCAAAATTTTTGTAGAAGAGTACATCAGTGCTTCCTTTCTTCTTTGATGTTCAATGTGACTTCAATTGTTTTTGTCTCACCAACAATTGCACGTTCATATACAAATACAAACAGTAGCATGTTTATATACAAATACAAATGATGAAATAATTGAGAGGTTTGAATGCAGGCATGATCTCTCCCAAGTTTTTATCTTCTGGCTCCTTCTATCATGGACCAAACAAACCCTTTTTAAGATGAGTAAATTTGTAAAGTTATTGTCTTCAGTTTGGGTGGAGAAATTTGCATTCAGAGAAGAGCACTGGTTTTTGCAAAGGGTTTTAACTCCTTCGCTGACTCAAGCCCTGGATCAATCAAGCCCTAGAATTTCAAATAACAATGAGGCTGATTATACATTGTCTAGCTTGAATGTGCTATCCATTGATGTGAATCGCTATGTCACGGCTGATGTCTCTGTGCATGGGGCTATCTCAAGGTGCCACAAGATCAAATGGCACAAAAGCCCTTTTACTTAGTGCCTAAACACTGTTGCAGCTTTCAATGTGGAACTAATTGATGATCTAACATTCAAGCTCAATCTCGTCCCATCATTAGATGGAAAAATTCCAGTTATTATCCCCGTGCGAACTCACCGCAGTTGAACACCGCCATCTATTGTTTCATGCAATGCCTATGGTATAATGCTTGGATCAAATCATGGCCATTTGAAGCATGTAAACATACAAAACCTCTCTCACCTCAAATGCACTAAGGGTTCAAATAACATTGGTGGCTTTGTTCCAATTGATTTCTGCCTTATTGAATACCAGATCTATATGTATCAATAACATGGTTGGTCTGAAACAAACTGAAGCTAAACACAGGAGAAATCGAGCTACTTGTTCTGAATGCCAGCCATTGCCCATGCCTGCCATAAGCCTATGGATATGGTGCTATAGAAATCCTTATTATTATTATTATTATTGTTATTATTATTATCATTATTGTTATTATTTGTAATTAACAATCATTCACAAAAGTGGAAGTGATTAGAGGTGGATATTTATCTTGCCACTTTGCAGATCAGTAAATCTCCAATAATGACACTGAGTAGTGTCGCTGATGAATTTTTACTGTATACTACACAGATTCTAAAAATCAGTATAGTTCTCTGTAATATACTGAAAATAGTTGGAAGTTAAACCCTTATATGCAACTTGGTCTTTTTCTCTTACTTGCTATTCACTTTCAAACCAGCCAACACGCAAAGCACTTTTCATGTGTGTGGTATATGATTATATACTAACAGTTGCTACTTAGTTACAGTGGTGTGTTTATTTAATAGTAATTATCATCATTTGTACCAATACTGAGATGTTACTGTTCAACTCTAAAACTTGCAATGTGTAGTTGTCAGGGCCCCCACAAATTTACATGTTCATGTAACTCTGTATTTATAGGAAGCCAAACTAGTCTGGCTCTTATGGAAACATGTACCAGCATTCAATTTCTCAAGTCAGCAGATTTACAAGTCTTATACCTTTTGACCCCTAAGACTAACTAGCAACTAATTCTTCAAGGTCATGCAAAGAAACAGGATGACTCCTAATGAGAGAGCTCTTTTAAAACAAATTCTCCTTGCCAGGATTGTTTAATTTACAGAGAAAAGCATGAATAATATGCATACTGATGTTAGGGTGTAGAGGGTTAAATTAGTTTTCACTGTAATCTCAGACTGACTAAATCTGTTATTGGCAGGTATGTTCTGGAGTGCCCAGGATGTGGTGTAATCTATCGTAGCCGTCAGTACTGGTTTGGAAATGAAGACCCAGTTAAGACTGTGGTCCGGACTGAGCTTCGCCATGCATGGCCTGGGGTGAGGTTTAAAGCTTGACTACTGACAATAAATCCAGCCACTTTTTTCCCAATAATTCATGAAAATCTGTGACATTGCTTAAAGAAACAGTTCTTTTGTGTTTGAGTAATATACCACTCTTTCTATCGGTTTACCATCATAATAACCATGCAGTATGTTGGGAGAACACATGAAAAATTTGTAAATCACAAACCGAAGGCAAGTGATTTATAAACTATTCTAGTCTTCACAACATCTCAAGAGGGTTATTAAGGCAGTAAAGCAATAAAAAGTGTGGTCTATTCCTTCTAAAAACAAAACACAGTTCAATTTTCTATGAGTTTTAACTGGACAGGTGCAATAAATGAAAGGTTTTTGATCAAAAAGTTCTGGTTATTTCATAAAGAAAATATTCTTTTGCACCTTTTATTGAAACACACTTTTTGTATTCAGCAAGTATTTGCAAAGCTGGATGGTGGCCATGCAGCCAGACGGTTTTTGGATCATATCAGCTATGTCACTGATGCAGTTAGCAGTCTTGGTACTCCATCCAGTCAGGCAGTGACCAACTGGATCACAGACAAAATAGCCCCAGATTATTGGGTGCCAAATTCTGAAATAACAGTAAGTCAAAAAAAAATTGGCTCAGTTTGCAGTTAACTGCCTCTACACTGCAGTCATACACGATGAAGTCAAGGGCTCAAAATGACAGCTTAAGAAACCTGTTACAGTGGCCAATTTACATCATCAACTCAGTTGATAAAACCAAATTATCACGTAATAGCTCTCCATTGACTCAGTGCTACAGCTTCATGTATTAGAAACTTACCTCCTCTATTCATGCGTGCAAAGCCTCTCAGTTGGCAGTATCACAGCAGATTAAATGTCACTGTCTGCACTGTGCTGAAAATGTAGGATAGTATTAACTGCAGTTTCTTGTAAGCCTATTGATTTTTTTACTGAGAGTAGTTTTTCTCAACTGTGCTTTGTACTTGTAGACTCCAAATAATTCTTGTTTTTTAATCAACCAAAACCAGGAAATATTAATTAGCAACTATTAAAATTTAATAGTTTCAAGCTTGCATCATTTTTACCAAATTTTGGTTGAACAAATTTAAAAGTCAAATTAGTCAAAAAATGTCCTAACTTCTTCTTCTGTCTTATCTCTTATCTTCTAGGCTTGTCAGGTATGCCGTCAAATATTCAGTGATGGAAAGACTAAGCACCACTGTCGCGCCTGTGGAGGTGGGGTCTGTGATGCATGTTCAACCAATAAGAAACCTGTACCAGAACGAGGCTGGGGTGAGGAACCAGTGAGAGTGTGTGACCGTTGTTTTGGAAAAACGTCAACCGTGGAGGCTCAGCCTCAACCCACATGTGACTTAAGGTAAGGTTGTTCATTTCCAATGAATTAACAGTAAGACACTCATTCAGAACTTAAACTCCCAGAAGTGATTAACATGTAACTTCTCTCTGTGATATCCATACATTATCAAGCAAGTAGATAATGAGAGTACTCAAACTTATCAGCCAGATGTTTTTATCTTGATCTACCACCAAACTCTTGTAATTAATTTAGAGAGAAATGTGTGGCAGCTAGAGGGGAGAATTAACAATTAGGTCGTGAGTTAAAGGGTTTAGCTTGGTTGTGATTTCTCTTCAATATTAAATACATATTTTGTGCTCTTTTAAACAGTGATTTATCAGATGCTCTAGAAGAGGAAACTCCTCAAGAAATTGTGCACCCTGAAGATGACCACAGTCTGTATTCTGAAAACCCTTTTGGACCAGTAGCTGCCCGAAAAGTAACAGAGGTTGTTCAGTCCGCTGTGGGTGTTTTAAAAACAGCCATTGTTTACCCTAAGGGGTTCATCACTGATGCAGCAAGGCCAGGATACTGGGTACCAGACTCTCAAATTTTAGTCTGTAACTGTTGCCAAACCGAATTCAAGGGAAGTGATACCAAACATCATTGCCGAGCCTGTGGTATGGGTGTCTGTAGCAACTGTTCAGAAAGTAGGAGACCTGTGGCTTCAAGAGGTTGGGATCACCCAGTCAGAGTTTGTGACCAGTGTGCTGCTAAAAAAGGACAGCTTTAGGGTCAATTTGTTTTCAGTGAGAAGCCAGCCATGAGAAACTTCCAGCTTATTGGCCCTTTATGATCAAGTTTTTATTAATACTGCAACCTTATGAGGTTTTAATCAAACTTACTACTTCATGGCCTTGCGTGGAGATGGAGAACATGATCATTGGCTGTGAGATCAAGTCTGATTTAAGTCCATGGCATCCTTTGCTTGAGGCCTTTTAAACCAAAACTAGAGTCTTTTGAGGGCTTTTTACTTAAAAGAAATAAAAACCAACAATAAGGTTATCACAGGGGCCTGGCAGACCTAAGAATAATAACCCAAAAAGGCAATGGACTCTTAAATTGAACACATGCAAACTGTTTGATATGCAGGAAAATGTTCACCATCAAGTCTTGATTGGTTTTAAGCTACTGCATTTGATTGATTGAGAGGGTTTCCAGAGTTTTATAGACCTATCATTAAGTGAAGCAAAGTAAAACCGGAGCAATGCTGGTTTAATTTGGATGCTAAAAATCCTACATTATCCTCTTCACCTTTGCTCTCTTAGGAGAGATCAAATGAGTAATTTCTCTGAGCAGAATCAATAAATCTATAAACCAAAAGGTGATGAGACTAAAGAAAATTATCTACCTTATGATAAAGCGATCTTTAATTTACTACCACCTTCTCAGAACTAACATTGAAAGAAATGTATAGCAGATGGTAAGGAGAA